GCAGCACACCCGTCAGGAAGAAGGGAACAGGTCGCCCCCTCTTCACCCAACTCACCCAACTTGCATGGGAATAAAGTTTGACGTTTCCCCTTGCGGCGAGGGAGATGGGCATATGTTCGGCGGGAGGCAGAGTCTGCACCTATTAACTGAAGGCCTTGTGGAATCTAACCTTCCAGGTGTGAGGAACAGTCAAGCAGACGCTCTCTCGTGGCAGCTCCATCTCTAGAACACGGAGTGGCAGATACCCCAAAGGGTAGCCTCCAGACTGTTTCTGGGGTGGGACGGTCCAAAGTTAGACCTATTCACCACACCCCGGAATGCCAAGCTCCTGACATATGTGACACTCCTGCCAACTTCAGGAGCCTTGGCCAGGGATGCTTGGTCGACCCCGTGGGCCCACATGGTCATGTAAGCCTTTCCTCCCTTTTCACTATTTACCAGGTACTGGAGAAACTTTGACAAGAGCGCACCTGCACCCATCGGGCCAAGCAAGGTCTGGAATATTTCCACTACACTGCCGTTGAGTCCAGCAGTGTACCACTTACACACGTCAAGGCTCTCAGTTGACTCGCTCAGTTTTTTTCTGAGTGGGCTGACGCAGCCCGGACGACCTCAGGGATCCCTGCGCATAGGTGAAAGAACAGTGTCTGCAGCACATTTGTTGCAGATAGATTTCTTTCATCAGCGCTCCTGGGAACTTTCCAGGTCTCGCTTTCAACCTATGCCCTCATTCAGAACTGGTTCCGCCTTTCTTTTGAAACCTAGTTACCCAAGAATTTGGATTTGGGTCTAGCGTTCTCGGGCATATCAAACCCTGTCACCGTTTCAGCATCTTGTTTTTGTTCCGGGGACAGCACTGGCAAGGTAGGACACCGTTTCTTCACTGGTCCCAACTACGTGGTATTCCTAAGTAGAGAGGATTATCCCGGACTGGGACACCGTTTTATCGTTTTTGGTTCACTCGGAAATGCGCCACCTATTGGCGTCTGATTCTGCCTACAGTTCAAAATAGTCATTTTGACTGCCCGGAGTCTATGGTTGGTAATTGAACGTAGTGAATTTAGGCAGAGGGTTTTCAACCCGCCTATTCACATAGTTCATACATACTATAGATTCCACCCCACTTTTTCCGTAGCGTTGGCTTAGTCGTCTTTGCAGAGAAAAAGAACCAGAGTGATTGTGGAGGCAATATGGCGCCGCCTCATTACCTCTGTCACGTGGTACGTGACGCGAAGGAAGATCTTGAGGTCATGGGGCTTATGTTGGGTATGAACTATGTATGAACTATGTGAGCAGGTGGGTTGAAAACTCTCTGCTTAATTCAAATGAATGGTGGAACCATTAATGCTGTAGGGTGTATTGGGACGGGTTGAGGAATTCCCAGAGGAATTCATGTTTGCAATGACTGGTTTTAATATACTATCTCGTTGTTTTCAGGATGCAGCCTGATATTTGTTGCTTTCTTTACATACAGTTTTTGTGGCGGGTGTTGATTGGTTTTTTGGTGATTGTTTGGACACCCCTGTAGATTGAAATGGTACGAACTCAATCAATATTTGATATGGCTGTATCTTCTGAAAACATAGCATCAAAATAATTTCTGTTTATTTATCACTGTTGTAGATCCTGAAAACTAGCCATTGAATATGATGTCGGGAATAAACAGTATGCTGAACAGGATTTATTAATTATTGCTGGCAATATTCCAATATGAATTGGGAGTAAACTGTGACACCAAATATAGTCGTTGCATTGTTATGCATCTAAAATAGAATGTCATAATGTCTTGAAACAAATTTAAATATAAGGTTTTTGAGATTTGTTCAAATTTTCGGAAGCAGAATTTATCAGACATTAGTTTTCGCAAACTCCAAACCACCGGCTATCACTTTGTCACTGAAATATTTCAGATGTTGAAATACAGTCACTAGTTGTAATTTGCTATTTTACATCTTTGTAATTTCAAAAAGTCTGGAGAACGATAGAATTAAAAGATTAAAAAAATAATATTGTGACTTCCAGGTGTGTGCTAAATATATTTAATTCAAGATGAAACTACAAATCGTCATTCAGATCATATCTGTTGTTTAATTTTGACTTGCGAAAAAAAGATATGCTATATAAGAAAAAGAGCCGAAAAGCCAGAAAATACAAAAAATGAGCATCAGAGCAATTGTTTCTTTGGTGTTTGGTAGACACATCTCCGGACAAGGGTTTTATGTCTCTAGTCCGGTGGAGATTAAAGGGTTGCCGTAAACCATTCTGTACGTATTACTTACAGTCAGATTTGAGTGAGTATATTAATAAAAGCGCTGTTCAACCTAACTGTGGTATACTTGTATGTTGCTGTTACCAACGTCGCATCCAACCCACCACCAACAACCGAGATGAGATCGCATTAATGTAATTGACATTCTAAAAAAAGGTTGTTGATAACTTCAGCAGAACATTTCCCAAGACACAATTTTGTAATTCATAGTCTTAATTTATTAAATTGCAACGATTATTATTATTATTACAGAATATAAAGTGGAAAAGTTCGTACATCCCATATTAAATAAAACAACATATATAAACAAGCTAAGAGAAAAAAAAACAAAAAAATATATAAAGAGACTAGAGTAGCTGTGGCGTATACATATGTTTATGGTACAGAACATAAATCAGCAGGTAGTCTGCATAGTCCTTAAACATTTGTAACCAATACGTATCATTTCCTACTCCATTAAATGTTCCTTTAAATGGAATTGGCGGGATTCCTACATTTATTGGCATAGGTAGATTTACTAAGAGAAGTACTAACTGTGTCTAATATGTAATACTATGTTTACCTTTACTGAGGTAAACTGGGTTAGCACACACTGTTATCTGTCAAAGAACACATAACGTTGTATATCGAAGCCTCTATTAAGCCAGAGTAAATTTATTTTACACCTATTATCGGGTGTATACTACGTCTATAAAACGTAATTGTTCAATTACACAAAAGTATTTCAACAACAACTTTCAATCATATGACTCTAGTAAGACTTAACATATTAACGGACACGCCACTGTGTACATACTAAAAGACTTAACATATTAACTGGCACACCACTGTGTACATACTAAAAGACTTAACATATTAACTGGCACACCACTGTGTACATACTAAAAGACTTAACATATTAACTGGCACACCAATGTGTACACACTGAAAGACTTAACATATTAACTAACACGCCACTGTGAACATACTAAAAGATTTAACATATTAACTGGCACACCACTGTGTACACACTGAAAGACTTAACATATTAACTGACATGAAACTGTGTACATACTAAAAGATTTAACATATTAACTGGCACACCACTGTGTACATACTAAAAGAGTTAACATATTAACTGGCACACCACTGTGTACATACTAAAAGACTTAACATATTAACTGGCACACCACTGTATACATACTAAAAGAATTAACATATTAACTGGCACACCAATGTTTACAGACTGAAAGACCTAACATATTAACTGGCATGCTACTGTATACATACTAACAGACTTAACATATTAAATGACATGCAACTGTGTACATACTAAAACAGTTAACATATTAACTGGAACACCAATGTGTTCATACTAAAAGACTTAACATATTAACTGGCACACCACTGTGTACATACTAAAAGACTTAACATATTTACTGACACGCCACTGTGTACACACTGAAAGATTTAACATATTAACTGGCACACCACTGTGAACATACTAAAAGACTTAACATATTAACTGGCACACCACTGTGAACATACTAAAAGACTTAACATATTAACTGACATGCAACTGTGTACATACTAAAAGATTTAACATATTAACTGACATGCAACTGTGTACATACTAAAAGATTTAACATATTAACTGGCACACCACTGTGAACATACTAAAAGACTTAACATATTAACTGACATGCAACTGTGTACATACTAACAGATTTAACATGTTAACTGACATGCAACTGTGTACATACTAACAGATTTAACATGTTAACTGACATGCAACTGTGTACATACTAAAAGACTTAACATATTACTGGCACACCACTGTGTACATACTAAAAGACTTAACATATTAACTGGCACACCACTGTGTACATACTAAAAGACTTAACATATTAACTGGCACACCACTGTGTACATACTAAAAGACTTAACATATTAACTGACACGCCACTGTGAACATACTAAAAGACTTAACATATTAACTGGCACACCACTGTGTACATACTAAAAGACTTAACATATTAGCTGGCATGCCACTGTGCACAAACTAAAATACTTAACATATTAACTGGCACACCACTGTGTACATACTAAAAGACATTATCTGGCACACCACTGTGTACATTCTAAAAGACATTATCTGGCACACCACTGTATACACACTAAAAGACTTAACATATTAACTGGCACACCACTGTGTACATACTAATAGACTTAACATATTAACTGGCACGCCACTGTTTACATACTAACAGACTTAACATATTAACTGGCACACCACTGTATACATTCTAAAAGACATTATCTGGCACACCACTGTATACACACTAAAAGACTTAACATATTAACTGGCACACCACTTTGTACGTATTAAAAGACTTAACATATTAACTGGCACACCACTTTGTACGTATTAAAAGACTTAACATATTAACTGGGACACCACTGTGTACATACTAAAAGACTTAACATATTAAGTGGCACACCAAAATGTACATACTAAAAGACTTAACATATTAACTGACACATAACTGTGTATATACTAAAAGACTTAACATATTAACTAGCACACAACTGTGCACATACTAAAATACTTAACATATTAACTGGCACACCACTGCGTACATACTAAAAGACTTAACATATTAGCTGGCATGCCACTGTGCACGTACTAAACGACTCAACATATCAACTGAACGTTTTAAATTGCACGTCACTGTTAGCACACAAGAAAAACTTAATCTGCGAAGTCAATTGTGTATGGTATACACCCATCATATTTGGTTAGATCGGGTAGTTTCTGTAACTCTTCAGCGGTGAATGGAATAACCTTGCTTTTAAATATTTCTTTGGATCCTAAAAACGAATCATTGAATTTCGTACCAGGTTCTAAGTCCAGCTAAAGTAGGAAAACAAAGAAAATAATAATTTATATTTAGTGTTTAGGTTGAAACAATTGTTTTCTTAATTAATTAAGACAATATTCTTCACATGATACTCGCTCTTCTGTGTACCTCCAGACATTTAGAAGTTTTGCTCTCCTACCAGGCACTCCATTATTCTTGAAGAAGTAACCCCAACCCAAAATTGTTAACGAGTTATTCAACATTAGCCCCTGCATTGTCGATGAGATACACGAGCACCATGCTCAATAACATTTTCCATGTGTCAGAAACCCACAAGGCACCTCAGGTACTGCCACCTCAATTAAATGACTGTTTGCATTGCGTTCAACTTACATATTTATTTAAAAAGTTTTTCACTCTGTTTTGTACCATTGCTGGATTTTGGTCCAGTGTTGATGGTAAATCGAACCTCAACTCCAATGAACCAGGCAATCCCTGTTCGTCTTTATATTGTCCGTCTTTGTAGTAAGAAATTACTGGGTTCAAAAATCCATGACAATTTGCAGACTCAAAATCAGGAGTGTGGACAAAATCATTTGGATGCTTTGCTGCTTCTCCAAAACTGTGGAAAAATATCATAAATGTCAGTAACGGAGATATAAACCTACTGAAAACCTCACATCAAATATGTGGACAAATTTGTTTCAAACACAATGTGGAATTCAGTTCGTTATCACACTATTTTGTTTTAATGGCTTGATTCAAAATAACGAACCAGTGGTAGTCTTGTTAAGTGCCGACTGTTGGCTGCCGAGTGCAAGTGTTATCTTGAATGTGTTTAAGAGTAAAGACCTCAATATGGTTGTTTTTTTGGATTATCGAAGTTCAAGTAGTTATTGATTTGTAATTATATTTTTTTTCTGGAAACATAACAAAACGTCATACATTAGAAT